TAAAAATGGAAAAAGAAGAAAGCTCATTTAGTCCTTGCTTCTACTATACCAGCAAGGTAATCTGTAGGATCCCTGATGAATGTCATGTGAAAAGACAACCTGAGAGGTTACAGCCAGAAAGTGCAAGAAGTATTACAAGAGTGTGTTGGGCAGCTGATAACGTGGCTTTTCTGTATTATGTGATATATCAGCTATCCATTACTCTTCTGTAATTCTGCCATTACAATCTGTATCTAATTATGGTTTATTTTCACATTCTAAATAAAGGCCCACTCATTACCTTAAAGAATAAGAAAGATTTCAGACTTTCCCAAGTATCACATTGCCAGTGTCCTCAAACCTCTGCTCCAAGAACACCCAGGCCACTGGGTGTGGACCTCTAGTGCTTGGCCACACAGCAGAGCAGAAAGTAGACCAAGAGGAGAAGAGAGGGGAGGGGAGTGGAGGCGAGGGGAGAGGAGGGGAGGGGAGAGGAGGGGAAAGGAGAGGGACAGATTCATCCATCTAGCACCCATGCTTTTCCCTAACCCTTTGATGCCTTCTTCTTTCCCATCTCCCCAGTCCATGCTAGGGTCTCTGGAGTACTGAGAACAGTCCTTTCACTCCTTGCATACTGTGCCTTGCACAGAAGAACACAGTGTAGCATTTCAGCTTGAGGTTGGAGCTACCTTGGCCCAGATCTGTCTGCTCAGAACCACCGCTCTTCCTTCCTATAGAAGATACATCCTATAGCAACCTTCTTTAACTTTCTTCTCTTTTTTAAATATGACAGTCTACATGTATTTCTCTGCCATTCTGGTTGAAGTTGCTTTATATAGCCACTTTTCCATAGGCTAAACCAAATAACTATTAGTCTTAGAAGGAAGGAATAGCCTTTGACATCCTTCTACTCCCTTCATACTTTCTGTCAGCCCTTCCTTCAAGTAACAGTGATCTGGAAAATGGTGGCATACAAGGTATAATTTCTCATGTGAAGTGGTCCTTGCTCAGCCTGTCCATGTCATGATTATAATAGCAGCTCTACAAGACATCACCAGTTTCTCCCATCTCTGCCCTACCAGCTTTGGCAATATTCCTGTCTTCTAAAACAATTACTGCAGCTCCAGGGATCACATCCATGTTCCACACAGTAGAACAGAGAAAGGAAAGGGAAGGGTGTTTCCATTCAATTTATTTTTATTTTATATGTTTAGGTGTTTTGGGGTGCATATAAGTGCACTCCTGAGTACAGTGCCTGCAGAGGGCAGAAGAGGGCATCAGATCCCCTGGAACTGGAGTTAGTGATGGTTGTTAGCTGCCATGTGGGTGCTGGGAACTGAATTCAGGTTCTCCACAAGAGTAGCCAGTGCTCTTAACCACTGAACCATCTCTCCAGGCCTGGATGCTTCCATTTTTAAAACACAGATTTCTAAAAACCATATGATCTTTCTGCTTATGTCTTATTACCCAGAACTTGATAATATGGGTGCCCCCAACTGTAAAGAAAGCTGAAGGATATAGTCTCTAAGCCAGTGGATAATGTGCCTGGCTGAATATTGTGTCTGTTGTGATGACTGAGAAAATATGACTGTCTGCTTTTTTGGATTAATAAACATTAGGGCACTGATGAAGCCCACCTTTAGGTATGCCTGTGAGAGCTTTTCCAGAGATTAACTGCATAAGTAGGAAGGCCACCTGGATGGCACGGCACCATTCTGTGAACTGGGGTCCCAGACCAGAATAAAAGGGGGAAACGAGAAGGCCTGCATTTCAGCCTCCGCTCTGTTCCTGATTGCCCAGTGGGACCAGCTGCCTCACCCTCACTCCCACCGCCACTGCTGCAGCAGGATTCTCACATGCCTTCCCCCGCCATGGACTGGATCCACTTATCCATGAGGCAGTCAACCTCTCCTCCCACACGCCTTGTCAGGAATTTGTTCTCAGCAAAGAGAAACACAACTACTATGCCGACTGAGAAAGGACTCTTAGAATTTTGGATGAAATGCCAATAAGGTGTAGAGTATTGGCCAGAGGACTCTCCTAACAGACTTTAAAAAGGCAAACAGATACAAGAGAGTGAATGTCCAAAAAGGCTTGGAAGGTTGACCTGCTCTCAAGGCCATACTTAAGGAAGAGAATTTTCGGAACTCAAAGGCCACTCCATGGCCTTTTTGTTTTTTATTTAAAATGATGTTTATTGGATTATTATTCAAATCCACAACTAAATCTATTACTTTGGGAAGTGTGGAAAGGTAAGAAAACAAATGTGTCCCACTTCTTGAACCCAGAATTAATATTTTACTGTGCTTCACCCTAATCTCATTTCCATGTGCAAATAACTTAATTTTTAACAAGTACAAAGGGATCATTCTTATTGTACATAATAGCAATTAAGACTGTGCTTTAGTAAAATTAAAAGCAATGTAATGGATAGCTCCCCCCACCTCTGCCCTGTGCCTGGCACCCACCCTTCAACCACCGTTGGCAATGGTTTTTGTATATCGGTTTATTGTTATGTATTCAGATAGAAACTGTTATATTCTCCCTACACTTTGTGTACAAATGCCAGCCCATCCACACTCAGATTCCTCACCTCACACTCTTCATTCCCATGCTGCGCTGCAACTTCCTTTTAGCCCTATCATCACAAGGGCTCCCTTGTCACCTTCCCAGCATTCCTGCAGTAGATGCTTCTCACTTCTTAAATGGTTCCCTGTTGACGGGCACCTGAGTGGCTTCCAACCTTTTCTTGTTTCAACTAATAAATGGCCTTTCATGAATTCATTTGCATAATGAACAGAGCCAAAGAATAAATTTCTAGAGTGGAATTGCTAGGTCAGATGCATTTCTAGCTTTGATAGGTACTGCCACATTAAATTTTGCATTGATTACAGCAGTTTCCTCTCTGACCAGCAGTGTCTGAGAGGGCCCTCTCGGGCCTGGTAGTCCATGGCCTGGTCAATAGTGTCTGTGTTCAGACTTTTGGATTTTTCCAGTCTCTTTTTTAAAAAAATCTATCTTGGTGTAACTTTAATTGATTTGGGTTATTATAAGCAAGCCTTATCCATAGCTTTTAAACAATCCCCATCTTATCACCATTCCTGCTCAATGCTCACCCTTCATAATTGTTAATCATGAAATCTCTGGGCATACAGTGGTGTCTCTGACTAGTAAAAATCAAACTGGCGTCCTCACTGAGTAGACAAGCTCTTCCTGATGGATGGTGTGTTAGACACTTTAGTTTTCAATTTGACACACCTGGGTTGAGGGAGCTCAGTTAGGGAATTTCCTCCATTGGACTGGCCTGTGGCCATGTCTGTGGGGAATTTTCTTAATTGTTAAGTGATGCAAGAGGGCCCAGCCCACTGTGGGCAGTGCCACCCCTGGGAACGTGGTCCTATATTGTATAAGAAAGTAAGTTGAGCCAGGTGTGGTGGTGCATGCCTTTAATCCCAGCACTCGGGAGGCAGAGGCAGGCGGATCTTTGTGAGTTCAAGGTCAGCCTGGTCTACATAGTGAGTTCCAGGCCAGCTAGGGCTATAGAGAAACCCTGTCTCAAAAAGGCAAAAAAAGAAAGGAAGGAAGGAAGGAAGAAAGAAAGAAAGGAAGGAAGGAAGAAAGAAAAGAAAAAGAAAAAAGCAGGTTGAGCACGGACCAGGGGAGCAAGCCAGTAAACAGCATACCTCCATGGTCTGTACTCCAGGTTCCTGCCCTGAGTTCCTGCCTTGGGCTTCCTCAGTGATGAACTGTGACCCAAGAGATGTGAGATAAAATAAACCCTTTCCTCCCCAAGTTGTTTTTGGTCAGTGTTTTTATCACAGCAATTGAAAGCAAACTAAGACAGATGGTTAGATCTGTGGTTGATATACCATACCCAGCTTCATTTCTGAGATATTTTAAGAGACCTAGAATGTAAGGAAAATAACTTTAAAATTCAGGAAAAGTAGCTTTAAAATTCATGTAAGACCAAGTCAGGGTGAGGTCAATACACTGAATATGCATGACCATGGTGACAGGCACGCCACATATTTGGCCCATCAAAAGACAGAAACTGAGTTCAAGTCAAACTGATCATCAGCACCCTGTTAGAACTTTTTTCTTTTCTGGAGTGACCATGGATCAGAGAGTGTGGGAAGGGGAGACATTGCTTCTGCCTTTGCCCTGCATACTTCAAATGTGGTGCCAGATGTGAGCTGAGCAGCCCAGGCAGCAAAGGGATTGGGAGGAAGGTGGCCCACTTCATGAGAAGGGAAGACATAGGAAGCACTTCCAGCAAGAACTCAGGTCAGTGAGACAGCTGCTTCCACACAGAACTAAATACGGGCCTACTTTTCAGGTCACAGAAAAGGAAAGCACTCAGCACCATTTATCAAAGCAGAGGAGTTGTAAACCAAGATCATCCTTATTCTACGGAAATCCCTATGGTGCCCTGTGACCTGACTCCCACCCTGACCCTAGTCAGAGTCCTTTTGTCATCTTAGCTTCTTTTTCTGACCAAATCATACTTGGAGTTGAGCTCTGTGGGGGGAGGAGGGATTAGAATGGATGCTGATGGCCATCACAAATAAACATTCACATTCCTAACAGAGGGGATAATTTTAAGAATGTTTAGAGACCATCATCATGTTTATATGAAATGGCAAGACTTAGCTTCCTACCATACATCCTACATAAAATTGTCACTTTAAATATTGACTGAGCACTTGGTCCTGCTGTGACTGGTGAGAGGCATTTGCTTACAAAAAAAAAAAAAAAAAAAAAAAAAAAAAAAAAAAAAAAAAAAAAAAAAAGAAGAAGAAGAAGAAAAGAAAAAGGTATGAGAGGCAGGCACATGCTAGGGTATTGGGTAGAAGTTTATCCAAAGACCCAAGGTTATTTAAGATCTTACGCACAAAATCTCAGCTGTGGCTCAGTATCAAAACTAAACTTGCTTTGCTTCTTTTGATGCAGATAAAACTGTCTTTTCCCCAGAAACAGGGGACAAGTGCTTTTACTTACAGCACAATATTTTGTCTTTCCAGGCATCCTATAAACCATTGTTGAAGCAGGTAGTAGAGGAAATATTTAATCCTGAGAAGCCAGATCCCGTTGACATTGAACACATGTCCTCAGGCCTCACTGATCTCCTTAAAACTGGATTTAGCATGTTCATGAAGGTAAGTAACCATGAAAAGGTAATGCTGAGTGTACTAGCATTCCATTTGCTGGGCATGAGAATGTTGGCACAGCATTAACCCTGCCCAACAGCGTACAGACCGCAGTCTTTTACAGTCAGGCTATCTTTGTTGACCTTTTGGTGCTAAGCAACTTCACAGCCTCCTTGTACCTGAGTCTTGTGATCTTTCTCCAGCAACACATATAGTATAAGGGTGAGGGTTACAGGGCATCCTTGAGAGTATTGTGGAAACATATGTACTCATGGCCCATTAGTTACTAACATGAGCCCATATACTACTATTCAGTGGACTTGGTGGCAATCTTTTGCTCTTAATTCTTGAACTTCTTCTGTTGGGTAATGAGCAACTCTGCCCACTCCTATGACTAATATCACCCCAAACTCATTTGGAAATGACTTCTGTTATGGTCCAGCAGACTCCTAGAATTCCTCTGGCTCATGTCTAGGGTGGGTCAGAATGACTGCACAACCCTTGAAGTGGGGATGAAAGGAGGAGAAAGTACACAGATGCCATCTATTTTTAAACCACTGTAAAGTTTCTAAATTAAAAGGATCCAAACAAGATTTCAGGCTGACCTCCCAGGCTGTGCCCCTATTTCAGTGGTAATAACTCTTGGAAATAACAGAATGTTTTGCCAGCTTCAAAGACTCTTTGAAATTGTGAATTAATCTGCATAAAAGATCCAGCCTTTCGAATTTCAATAAAAGCATATTCCAGGAAAACGGGTCCATTCCAAAATCCAGAGGACAGATGCCAGACATCAGACTGGAAACCAAGCAGTAAACTGGCTGGAGTGGCCTCGCCAGCCCCTGCTCTGCTGTTCCTAATTACCAGCAGTTTCTGACGCAATGCCTGGCTGCTCCATTTTCTTTTTTCTTTTCTTTCTTTTTTTCTTAATAAGGCAATGCAGATCAGCTTTTAAAAAGAGTCCAGGGCTCCTGTGCTGAGTACAAACCAGAGTTGTTCAATGTCTCCCTGCCCTGCCCCTGAATTGCTCTTCCCAGTGGCTAGTTTATTAAAAAAACAAGCAAACAAACAAACAAAAAACAACCTACCAACCTTCTGGGCTAGACATGGTTTCCAACCCTGCACCTGAGTACTCTCTTCCTTCCTTTACAAGTTCAGACAGCCAATGGTGCTTGTGGACTGTGTGAGGACCTTAGTCATGGGAAGACTTTAAAGTTACCCCTGTAAGCACAATGAAGTGTTTTTTCCCTCTCTTCCCATGCTCAGTGCGCAGATGTCCCACCGTTCTAGGTGGACTTTGCCGAGGAAGTTTGGGACACTAATGGAATGAGAAATGGAGTATTCAGCCCCTGTTATTGGAGCTCCTGAAGCAAGGCTCCCACAGCTGATCTCAGAGGGAGGGCTCTTGGAAGTGTATTAAGGAAGAGAATTTATGTTCTCCCAGCCACTGTCAGCATCTGGTGCTTGGCTGCAGCTGCAGGGCCTCTGCACTCAGCATCTTACCTGTTACCCTGGGCTGGCCACAAAGCCCCCTCCACCCAGAATTCTAAATGGAGAGACCTTTTTTTTTTTTTTAATGGGCCTCAGTAGCTGGCCTTTCCTGATAGGAGTCCAGAGTTCAGTGCAGAAAATTACATCTGGTCCATTTGTGCAGAGTTTGAACAAAATTGAGATAAACTTAAAGAGCGGCAGCAATTTGAGCAACAAACTGTAACTTCCCAAAGAGCCACTACTTTGAGGAGCCAAAAGCAGTCAAAAGGACTTCCATTCCACCCTAATGTCTGTGGAGAGGGAAGGAGGTAGGATGCATGTGGTGACACACAGCATGACCATTATCCAGTCTTCCCACCCACAGTTATTAAAGACAACGTGTGATTAATGTGGACCACAGCCAGCCAGACCATTTCATCCACCCTCCTACCCATCTCTATGATAACCTTAGCATGTACGTCTTACCCTTATCCATTTTACCAATGAGGAAACTGAGGCCCTGCATGGCTAAACAATGGATGCAAATTTCCAGAAGGCTGGGATTGCATCGCATTCTCTCCTATTCTCAGGTATTTTCCAAAGAGTACATAGAAAATGGCAACTCCAGGGTGTGTCCAAGTCATTCTTTCTCCAGGGCCAGTGCTCTCACCCACAGCATCTCCTGGCTCCATAGTGCTGCCAGGCGTTTTCTTAGGATGAATATTCATGTGGTATTAATTTTCTTCAGGGTTTACTCACTGGCCCAGCTGCCTTCCCTTTCCAGAATCAGCTCATGAAGGAGGTCTCTGTCTGTGCTGGTCATGGGGCCATTAGTCTGAGTGGGATTGCTAAGAGTGCTGAGGGTCATCTGCTAGTCTTCAACCTCCTTTTCTGGGACATGGGCCTGGGGTTCCTGGGCACTACACCCCACCCAGAAGAATGGATCTGTGCATTGCAGATGAGTCACCTAAACATACTGCATCTTCATTCTGTACTTGCAGTCAGCAATTACTGGTCCTACCTCTGGCTGCTTACTGCCCTACTCTGTGCCTCTGGATGCTGATCCCCATCTTCTCACTCAGGACTTGCCAGTGCTGAGCCAGAAGGAGACAAAGAAGCAGAACTTGATGAAATAAAGTTGTCTGTGGGGGAATCCCTTCCATGCATGGGTACTGTTGTACAGATGGGGCATTCTAGAAATTCAACTTGAGCTGGAAGGGAGCTGAGCTGATTGTCCCTGCTCAACTCCTTCCTCTGTACTCAGAGATCATTTCCTGGATGATACTGCCTTGGGGTGGTGACCCAGAGGCAGTGTCTGCAGACTGCACAGAAGATGAAAGTAGATTGGAAAGATGGTGAGAGATGCACAGGGAGATAGGGCCCACAGTCATACTACAGGAGACATGGTGTGAACCTCATAGCATGTAATAGAGAGAACACAGGGAAGGGTGGAAAGGGCAGTCCAGGCCCCAAGTGTATTCTTTAGGGTTCTGTATCTTAGACATATTTCAGTGTTTCTACTTAGATATTGTGTTATAATTTAATATCTTATTATCTTATCATAGCTTTCATATCTTATTACCATATCTTATTATATTATATTATATATTATTATCTTATCTTTCATATCTTTCTCCCACTGTTTTTTAGAGTAGTGTTTTTGTAACTACTCAACATGGTCCATTGCAGATCAGTAGGTCAAGAATCAGTTTGATGGACTGTAATGAGCTTTGTCTAGTGGAAAGGGATAGAATAGACTAGCTCAGAACTCATTGTGTTTAGTTAGGTAAAAGAGCACAGCCCAGTCAACAGGCATGACTTGAAGTTTTTCTCAGTACAGATCAGTCTGAAAAGAATGTGAAAGCTATGGCTGTGAGACTAGAAGACTGAGCTGGGTCTTATTGGTTTTGAATCCTTGACACTTAGCATGCTGCGTACAGCAAGTGCTCATTAAGAATGAGGGTGGTCAGAGAAGATTGATTTCAAAGCTCTTTTGGCATAGCTTTAAGCCATTGGTGCCTTTTTTCACTAAATGAGCTGCATGCATTGTGGTCATAGCTTGTGCAGCTTGCAAGTGTAACAGCAAAACTAGCGTTGATTTTTTTTTTTTTTTTTTTACATTTCCATGGTCTAGAGATTTATTCTTACTATATACCTTAGCAGCCCCGGCATACAGTTATCTATTTCCTCATTAAGTCGGGAACTTTCATCTTTGCACTTAAGGGAAGCACTTTACCACTTTCCTTTGGCTTATCAGAACTGCTTTGGGGCCATAATTAAGAAAATTAAAAGGTGCTTGAACACAGCTGTGATACCACCACAGTTGGTCTGATAACCCAGGTGGCCAATCAGTGACTAAAGGACAGGTGCGTGTACTGTGTGAGTACACAGGACAAAGGGATGGTTCATGTCCAGGCTGGAGAGAGCAGGGTAACACGAGATTTCATCATACTTCAGAGCAGCTTGTAATTTAAAACTTAAGAGATTTTTTTCTAGAAGTTTCCATTTTATATTTTGGAACTGTAAGTAACTAAAACCATGCAACATAAAACCTCAGATAAGAAGAACTGCTGCTTAACCTTAAGCCTGAAGATACATTTCAAGATATTCACAAGTGAGCAACTCTGTCAGTCAATTCCAGTGACCCTTGCTGACTGACCTGATCCTCCCTTACAACAGCTGCTAAGCAAGGCAACCCCAGGCCCACCATGCTCCTACCTCACAGAGACAGAAGCTCACTTCCATTTCTGTCAAAGAAAGCTGATAGCCCCATCTTTCCACACTACAGTGTAGAAATCTGTTTCTCCCAAGGCTTCACCTCCCTGGAGGAAAGAACAGAAGCAAAGGGGCCAATTTTATGAATGAAAAGTAAATGTACTGGGAGGTGAAATACCCCAACAGAGTGGCTGATGGAAGGAAGGGTGATGCCAAGGAGACCTGAGAGTCTCTTCTCTTTTTAGCACCATCTTTTGGTTTGATTCAGTGAATGATTGGGGGCTACCTCTTTTCCGAATTTCTTCCTCCACCATGCGGTGCACGCTTCAGTTCACTGTCTGTTGGCAATGGCAATGGAGGCAGTAGAGACCAGCATCACACACCACACACCTGCAATCAAACTATGAGAACCCAAACCTTCCCCTTAGTGGCTTTGTGATACTGAGCAGACCCCTCAGCCTCTTTGTAACTGTGCTTCCTCATCTGTAAAGTGGGGATGAGAGAGGCACCAACCTGACAGAGCTGTTGGGAGAGAGATGTGTGAGTCACAATTAGCACTCAGCACCAGGGCTGCCTTTAGCAGGTGCCTTGTAAGTTCTTTATCTTATTTTTATGATTTTTGTGGCCCCTGCCACACTGTAGCTTTTGAGAAAAAGCCACCTTAAGAATCTTTATATCCTGGGGCTGGAGAGATGGCTCGGTGGTTAAGAACACTGGTTATCCTTGCAGAAGACCCGGGTTTGAATCCCAGCACCCTCATGGCAGCTAACAACTGTCTGTAACTCCAGTCCCAGGGGATCCAACAGCCTCTTCTGACCTCCGTGGGC